ACAGCATATGGTTTGCAGATCTTTTTCCCAAGATACACATAAAAAAAATTAAAACCAAAGATGATAACTCTTAGAAACTATTTTCCTCCTTAGATAATTTAATAAGAAGGTTACCTGGTAATCTTTAAACAGAATACCATAAATTTTTTTGTTACATTCTCACTTCGACCTTGCTAAACAAAGCAACGAATTATGGAGAAGTAATGCATTTATCTTCTATTTCCATGATCAGATTCTCTCAATCATTAGAATACAAAAAATAGTAACAGTATAATAATTTCCTTAAGATTGTTGTTCATATTGTATTCCAAACATACGTAGACCAAAACTTTGAACATCTTTGTAAGAAAACAAAGTTTAAGAACATTTTCACAACAAGAAAATTAAAACTAGTAGCGAAATTAGAATCAGAAACATATTTTTTTTTAAAAAAATACGAAATATTTTTCTTAAAGAGGAATTGTTGTTATATGTGTCTAATGAATCTTACTGATTCCAACAAACTTTGCAGAAACACGAAGTTACCAAGTTTAATGAACCAGTGAAGAACAGAAGAATAGAAGAACTGAAATTAATTCACAAATCTAAAATTTGTAAAACACGTACCAGAATTTGGAAATTTTTAATAGGAAAAAGATCAAGTCCACTGAATTCACAGTGTCCCCTTAAGGAAATTATTCCCCTCTAGTATCCGAGGTTTGATTTGGAATATGACCTCCCAGGGTAAAATGATCTCAATCACCAGAGTATAGATACCAAAAACTCCGGTGTCAGCGAACCACTCAACGGCAGTAAAGTACACTTAGAATACTAAATTTAGTAGTTGAAGAAGAAGTCCATAAAAAATTCTTTTTAAAATGAGAGGAAATCCCTCAATTTATAGAAAACAGAGGATAGTGCGAAAAGGTTCTTATTGTGTTCTTACTGAAAAGGACACAAACCTTTGGAAAAGTCACAATCTTTCAGAAAGGTCGTCACCTTTTATAAAAGTCACAACTTTCCATAAAAGTCACAACTTTTCATAAAAAATGCAACTTTTCATAAAAGTCACGACTTTTCATCAAAGTCGCAACATTTCATATAAGTCACAACTCTTCATAAAAGTCGCAACTCTTCATTTTCCATTCACACCTTTATTTTTAAAATCCAACAATACTTAGGTAGCAAATAATAGGAATCCCTCTTAATTTTATTCCTTAATTAGAACCTAATGTTTTGTATTTATCCATTGCTCATCTAGCTATATTAGTAATGTACATTGCTATACTTAGGTAGCATGATGATTGAAAGGTGTGGTGGGATGGATGGAGGCTTTTGTGAAGAAAGATGCTCGAGAAAAAGATCGATGGCATGCATCTCGGAGGCGTTGAGAAGGGGTGATGAAAGGGTTGTAGTAGGGAGAAAGAGGGGAATCGCGATGGATAAGATCAAGAGTGAATCCGTTTGTTTTGGCCTTTCTACAAGAAACTAAAGAAAGTTGAGAGAAAGACAAAAAAACAAAAATGGATAAAAGAAATAATAATTTAGAATTCATTTTCATGGCTATGGATTAAGGTGAAAAGTATATTTCAGAAGAGTGAATTATGAATAGTTGATAATTAGTGTCATTTTATAGGGCAAACACAAAATAAAAAATGAATGCATTAAGGAAGATTAATGTTATTATGGAAAAAAAATAATTAATTTTGATGATCAGGAAAAGATATGTAATGTATACAAAATAGGAAATGGTAATATATAAATTGATTGTTGTTACGTTCATAATGTATATAGACTTAAATCTTAATATATTAGTAATGTACATTGCTATACTTAGGTAGCAAATAATAGGAATTCCTCTTAATTTTACTCCTTAATTAGAACCTAATGTTTTGTATTTATCCATTGCTCATCTAGCTACTGAAATAAGATAAAAAAAGATCTTTCATTTGATTATATGGTATCAAAGCCTATAAGCTCATGTCAATATGTTTTTACTCTATTTTAGAAATAGGCTCTGATCTTATTTTAGTAGATCCTTATGTGTGTGTCAACGTTGACTCTTCATTTCCTGTGAACCTCAGCTCTATTTGTTGTTAAAACACTATTTGGAAACTTTGTTCATCACTTTCAGGTTCGTTTTTCTTCTCTGACGTTGAATCTGGTTTGTGATTTCTGATTCTATCGACGGTTGAATTCTACTTTGTTTCGGATAATTGGTGTTGTGTGTGGATATAGTTGTTGGTTCAGGATTTCTTTCTCTTATCAACAACTGATTCCTTGGTTGCTTAAATCATTTTAGACCATGTTCATATGTATTTGTGGGATGACAATAGTTGATGGTTTTACGTGTAACATTATAGGATTTAGGACTATCAAACCAAACCTCCTCCGTTACCTTGTCACTTGTATTAAGTCAACCAAAGTTTTTTAGTTTTTAATTTGATGCAGGTTATTAAGCTTATGAGAGATTTGAAATACTATATCTCGTTCTTTACTGATTATTATATGTATCGTTATCTAAAAGAGAATAAGATTATAGGTGAATGACATGAATTTGATAGTCTCTGTATTCTTGATGAATATTTGGGCCCTCCATTTGAGTTAGTTCATTCTATTGTTTAGAGATCACCAAATGTAATTTTTAAAACTGGACATAAGTACTTAATCGGCTAATTTCTCTTAAATGACTTGAATTTATCGTCATTCTGTATTTCGTACTTTTAAAAAAATACAAAGGTATGCCTTGTATTAGATGGAGAGTGAACATGTATTTATATATTTTTGAATAGTTAATCATTGTCTTTAAAGAAGTTCTAAATTTCCAGATTTCATATCTTATCTTTGTGAATTTCAAAACATGGAGAGAAATCAGATGAATTAATTGACTTCATAATTATTAAAATATCAATCTTCTGTCTTATTGAGCATAAAATAAATCTTTTGGGGAAAAAAAGTTAAAACAGTCAAAATTCAAAAAATTAACGTGCACATATATAATACAGTATTAATACATTCTAATTAACATGGTATTACTCTTAGTAGTTTGCCTTCTTTTTCTTCTACTTTTCAATCGGAAAATCCTGATCAAATTAGATTACAATAATTTAGAATTATTATGAACTTCAAGAAAAGGACATTTAAATAACTAATACATACATACTCCCATACAAATTTCATTACATACAAAGTGGTTAATTAATTAAAAATATAAAATTGTAATCCAAATTTATCAGTGTTTGGTACAATTAGTAGGTAAGAAAGATAGCTTGTGATTTACAAGATCATATCCAATAAGGAAATTCATCTGTTGCAAGTTTCCATAAATAGCAAAATTAGGATACCCCTTAACAATTGAAAAACAACTCAAATCATTAACTTTTGCAAATGTGTTCATAGGTAGCAACTCGATATCAGCATTATCCTTGAAATGGAACACAATGTTAGGAATTTTATTGACAATGCTTTTCGCCTCGTAACATAGGGGAAGCGGACCACCTATTCTCTTACCTGTTGAGACATAATATATGTAATGATTAAATAACTAAAAGTATGATTTATTATACGTTTAAAAATGGTCTCCTAATTTAATAAACTTTACCTTTAATCATTTCCACCAAAGTTGATTCCAATTTGTCATAAAATTCACCAGGGATCATTGTCAACGTTGTGCCAGAATCGATTATAATATTTCCCAAGTCTTCATTAGCATTACTAGGAGAATTCGTGACTTGTGGAGACTTAAACTCTAACTTCTTACCTCCAACGCTAACACTTTCAAGATGTAGATAGTAGAATATATCGTTGTTCCTTCGAATTATGGGAGTTGTAAGAACGTTAGGCCCCGATACAACTGCCTTAGAACCAAAATTAATTTTACTTGTAGTATTGGGAGGATGATAAGATGGTGATATATCATTATTTGGGACTAAACAATAAGAGAATTTCCCTTTAATTTGTTTATCAAGTTGATTAATAAAAGAGATTTTTGAATCTGCTAATCCCACAATCCCAGTAGTACGATTGCTAAAAGTGCCATCATTACTATGTCCACAACCAAAAATAACATGTGGAATTGAAATATTATCAACCTTATTAGAAGTTAAATCAAATGTGAATGTCTCAAAAGCAACATCACCAAAACTATAAGAACCATCACCATAATGCAATTCATATTCACAAACATTCTTTTTGTCACAAGTTTTACCTCTTACTAGCTCACATTCCTTACTATGACAACCAATTATTTTATACGTTGAGCTTTTTCGAGGATCGAAAAGGGGTAATATTTGTTTATAACAATGAGTACAAGGCTTGCATTGTACCCATGTCAATTCACTCCCAGTGTCAAGACTTGCATAGGTTTTCATTGGGGGCATACCGATGGAAATTTTCATTAAATAATCTCCGGAATCAGGAATGATGTCTGATTGAATAGCATGATTGACGAGTGTGGTGGGATGGATGGAAGCTTTCGTGTAGAAAGATACTCGAGAGAAAGATCTTTGGAATGCATCTCGGAGGCGTTGTGAAGGGGTGATGGAAGGGTTATAGTAAGGAGACAGAGGAGAATCGCGGTGGATTTTAATAGAAAAACAATTTTCTAAGTTTACATGGATTTTAATAGAAAAACAATTTTCTTCTATGTAATTTTTATATAAGATCTGAGTTCTTGATTGTTTTCAGCTTATAAATAACTAAATAAATACTGTTAAATATATAAATAAAAAAATAGCAAAAAGATACTCTCATTATGTTGTACATACTATCTAGTTTTTTCTTGTTAATACATGAGCACGATTATATTTTCAATGAGAAACCAATATTAGAGAGAATATTCTTTGCGTGTTCTACTGTTACTAAATAGGACTAGTAAATTTAGCAGCGATTTTGTTTTTTCCAGCGGACTCCAGCGATTTACCGTTTTGATTAACATAAAATTTTATATATCATTTTAAAATTTTTGTTAATATTTTATACCTTTATGCTTCGTACTCCTATTAAACAAATTAAAGGCCAAATTTCATCACGTAGCAGTGCTTAATTAATTAAAAATATGATATTATAATCCTAAGTTATCAGTGTTTGGTACAATCAGTAGGCAAAAAAGTGAGCTTGTGATTTACAAGATCATATCCAATAAGAAAATTCATCTGTGCCAAGTTTCCATAAATACCATATAGATCCCCCTTCACAATTGTCAAACAAGTCAACTCTTCATCAACTTTTGAAAATGCATTCATAGGTAACGTCTCGACATCAGCATTCGTGAAATGGAACACAATGTTAGGGAATTCGACAACGCTCTTCGTCTCATAACATATGGGTAGGTCCACACCCGGGGGAGCTATTTTCCTCGATCCTGTTGAGACATAATATAAATCATTTATTAGTACTATATGTACACTTTAAAAATATAATCACACAATTTAATTTTACCTTTAATCGTTTCCACCAAAATTGATTCAAATCTGTCGTAAAAATTCTCAGGGAGATATGTCAATGTCGTCCCAGAATCAATTATAATATTTCCCAAATCTTCATCAGCAACATCGGAAGAACTCATGAGTTGTGAAGACTTAAACTCTAACTTCTTACCTCCAACGCTAATACTTTCGAGATTTAAAAAGTAGAATAGATCGTAGCCTAATACAACAGACTTCTTTCGAATTATAGGAGTTGTAAGAACGTTAGTCCCCGATACAAATGCCTTAGGACCAAAATTAATTTTACTAGTAGTATTAGGAGAATGATAAGGTAGTGATAAATCACCATTTGGGACTAAACAATATGAGAATTTCCCTTTAATTTGTTTATCAAGTTGATTAATAATCGAGATATTTGAATATCCTAATCCCACAATCCCAGCACTATGATTGCCAAAATTGCCACCATTATGATGTCCACAACCAAAAATAACATTTTCAATTGAAATATCATTGACCTTTTTAGAATAAGTTGAATCAAATGTGAATGTGTCAGAAGCAACATCACCAATACTATAAGAACCATCACCATAATGCACTTCATATTCACAAACATTTTTACTTCCACAAGTTGACTCTCTTACGAACTTACATTCCTTACTTTGACATCCAATTGTTTTATACGTTGAGCTTTTTTTAGGATCGAAGATTGGTAATATTTGCTTGTAACAACGATTACATGGCTTGCATTGTATCCATGTCAAGTCACTCCCAGTGTCAAGAATGGCATAGGTTTTCCTCGGGGGAGTACCAATGGCAATTTTCATTAAATAATCTGCGTAATCTGGAATGACGTCTGATTGAATAGCATGATTGACGAGTGTGGTGGGATGGATGGAAGCTTTCGTGTAGAAAGATACTCGAGAGAAAGATCTTTGGAATGCATCTCGGAGGCGTTGTGAAGGGGTGGTGGAAGGGTTATAGTAGGGAGAGAGAGGAGAATCGCGATGGATAAGCTCAAGAGTGAATCCATCTAAACCATGGTTGGTTTTGGCCTTTCTACAAGAAACTAAAGTAAGTTTAGAGAAAGCCAACAAAGCTAAAATAGATAAAAGGAAAAATACTTTAGAATTCATTTTCTTGGTTTTACAAGAGAGTGAATTATGAATAAGATAAGTTGATAGTTGTTACCATTTTATAGCTACGCCAAAGAAGAAGAAGAAGAGTGATTGCATTAACAAATATCAATTTTGGTAAAGGGAAAATAATGCACGTAAGGATATTATATATTACGTAATTAAATTTGCTAAGCAAAAAAAAAAAATAGATATGTAATGCATAAATTAGCACTAAATACAGAATATGAAATGGAATTATTATATAAATTGATTGCATAAATATTTTCCTAAAAAAAAGATAATGTTATCAATGGTTAACTGATTTTGTTAAGAGACCTTTAATGAAGTGAAAATCTTATCAATTAGGAAAGCTTTTTATTTTGATAAATCGAAGAATTTAAGAGTTTTCAACTTCAAGGTAGTTACGTTAGTTTGGCTTTTGTCTAAGAGTAGATCATAATTAAATTACTGTTAATATATTCTTTTTAGAATAAAGATACTCTCATAAGTTTTTTTGTTGTTATTTTCAGTGTGAAACCAAGATTAGAGAGAATATTAATTGAGTGATCTGTATATATTGTATATCATTCACATTCCAATAGAATAACTAAATAAGATATCTTTTAAAATCCATGTAAATGAATTCACATCGGAAGAAAAAACCCTTTATAGGCGATACTTTGATTGAAATTTTTAATTATGCTTTCGTCATTTTTCGTATCTACTTTAGGTCCTATGTTTTTTTTAGTAGTTTTTTTGCCTCGGAAGAAATTTTTAATTTCTTGAAAAATATAGAGAACTTTATATGTACTTCTGTATTTTCATTTGAGCAAAATTGACCTAGATACATTCAATAGCAGAAGCATGATATGTGAGGTCATAATTAGGTGCGAATAAAATCGAACAGAAAATCGTATCAAATTGTTAATCGAAAAGAAAAATCGATTACGATTTAGTTTTGACTTGGTTTGATCTTGAAGAAAAAAATTCGATTATATTGGGTTGGTTTGATTTTAACTTTAAAATGTCAACCCGATATCAAGCCAAACACATTATATATAATTTTGAAATTTTATTTTTTCACCCCTGACCCCCCACCCACCCACCATCGGCCACCCCCCAAACCCCAACCCCTCCCCAAAAAATTAATTTTGCTTTTCAAAAAAAAATAATTCAACTTTAAATTTTTATTTTTAAATTCCTACCCT